TCAAGTGCTTGGTAGCATTTGCCAGTGAAGGGATCTAGTCCTGGACTGCATTTGTTTGGAAGTTTTTAAATTATTGATTCCATATCCTCAATTGTTATAAGTCTATTCAGATTTTCCATTTCATCTTGGAAATGTGTTGTGTTGCTAGAAATTTGTCCATTTATCTAGTTTTTAGGCATATAATTGTTCACTGTATTCTCTTATTTTTTTAATTTCTGTAAGGTCAGTAGTAATGGTCCCAATTTCCTTCTTAATTTCAGTAATTTGAGTCTTATCTCTTTTTTAGTCTAGCTAAAAAGTTTGTCAATTTTGTTGATCTTCTAAAAAACCAGTCTCTGCTTTCATTCTTTTTTTCTACTCTCTGTTTTATCCCACTCCAATTTTTGTTACTGCCTTCCTTCTGTTTGTTTAGTTAGCTCTTCATTTTCTCATTTAAAAAAATTTTTTAATGTTTAATTTTGAGAGAGAGACAAAGCAGGAGGGGCAGAGAGAGAGGGAGACAGAATCTGAAGCAGGCTCCAGGCTCTGAGCTGTCAGCACAGAGCTGATGCAAGGCTCAAAGCCATGAACTGCGAGATCATAAGCAATTAACCAACTGAGCCACCCAGGTGCCCCCATTTTCTCATTTCTTAAGGTATAAAGTTTAAGTTACTGTTTGAGATATTTTTTTTTTATTAATGTGTTTACAGCTATAAATTTTTCTCTGAGCACTGCTTTCTCTGTGTCTCATACGTTTTGGTATATTATGCTTTCATTTTCATTCATCCCAAAGTATTTTCTATTTTTTTTCTTTGTGATTTCTTCTCTGACTCATTGGTTAAAGTCTTATCTAACGTCCACATATCCCAATATTGTGGAATTTCCAAATTTCTTTCTGTTATTGATTTCTAATTTTATTAGCTGGTTGCAGTGAATAGTATATATAATTTCAATATTTTTAAATTTATTGAGAACTCTTTATATCATGATATGTAATATATCTTAAAGAATGTTCCATGTACACATGAGATGAACATGTATTTCACTGTTGTTCGGTACAGTGCTATATCGATGTCTATTGGGTCTAGTTAGTTTATAGTGTTGTTCAAGTCTTTCATTTCACTGCGGTTTCAAATTCATCTTTTGTCTAATTTTTCTATCCATTATTGAAATGGCATGTTGAAATTTCCTACTATTATTGTTGAACTATTACCTCTCTTCAATTCTGTCAGTTTTTGCTTCATATATTTTGGGGCTCTGTTATTAGATGAATATAAGTTTATAATTGTTATATATTCTTAATAAACTGAACTTCTTTTATTATCATATAATGTAATTATCTCAAAAATTTTGTCTTGGGGCACCTCTGTTGGTTAATTGTCCAACTTCAGCTCAGGTCACTCATAGTTCATGAGTTCAAGCCCCACATCAGGCTCTCTGCAGTAAGCACAGAACCCGCTTTGGATCCTCCAACCTCCTGCCCCCCGCCGCCTCCCAAAAATAACATTTAAAAATTTTTTTTTAATTTTTTATCTTAAAGTATATTTTGTCTGATATTGGTTTAGCTACTGCATCTCTCTTCTGGTTCTGATTTGCATGAATATCTTTTTCCATACTTTTACTTTCTATTTCTTTGTGTCTTTGTATCTAAAATGAGTCTCTTATAGGGGCGCCTGAGTGACTCAGTCCTTTGGGCGACTGACTTCTAGATCTCACAGTTTGTGGGTTCGAGTCCCGTGTTGGCTCTGTGCTGACAGTTAGCTCAGAGCCTGGAGCCTGTTTCAAAGTCTGTGTCTCCCTCTCTCTCTGACCCTCCCCTTCTCACCCTGTCTCTCTCTTAGAAATAAATAAAAAATGTTAAAAAAAAAATTTTAAATGAGTCTCTTATAGACAGCATACGACTGAACTATTTTTTAAATCCATCTGCCAAGCAATGCCTTTAACTGGAGAGTTTAATCTATTTACATTTAAATAATTAGTGGAAAGGAAGGACTCATTTCTGCTATTTCCTATTTGTTTTCTATATGCCCTTTTTTGTCATTATTTCCTACAGTAATTATGTTAGGTATTTTCTAGTACACCATTTGATTTCCTTCTCACTTCTTTTATTTTTTTTAGTTATATCTTAGTGATTAACAATTATATTTAACATCTTAATTTATAGCAATCTTGTTTCAATTAATACCTAGATTGGTAAACTAGATTGTTTATAAGTATACAAAATTTTGCTCCTTCCTCCCCACCTAATGCTGTTATTGTCACAAATTACATTTTTATATACTATATGTCCATTAACATAGATTTATAATTATTGTTTTACATTGTTGTCTTTTAAATCCTATTGAGAGGGGTGCCTGGGTGGCTCAGTCAGTTAAGCGTCTGACTTTGGCTCAGATCATGATTACATGGTTCATGGGTTTGAGCCCCGCATTGGCCTATGTGCTGATGGCTAGCTCAGAGCCTGGAGCCTGCTTTAGATTCTGTATCTCCCTCTCCCTCTGACCCTCCTCTGCTCATGCTGTCTCTCTCTTTCAGAAATAAATAAAACAGTAAAAAACAAATTTTAATCATATTGAGAAAAAAGAATTGCAAACCCAAAATATGTTAATATTAACTTTTATATTTGCCTATGTAATTGTGTTCGTTTTACTGGTGTTCTTTGTTGCTTTGTGTGGAGTCAAGACTGTCTAATATCCTTTAACCTAAGGACTAAAAAACTCCTTTTAGCATTTTGTATAATATAGGTCTACTACCAATGAGCTCTCTCAGTTTCTGTTTATCTGGGAATGTCTTAATTTCTCCTTTATTTTTGAAGGATAGGTTTGTTAGATATAGAATCCTTAGTTGACAGTTTTCTTTCAGAATTCTGACTTTGTCATCCTACTGCCCTCTGGCTTCTATGGTTTCTGATGAGAAATCAGCTGTTAATCTTATGGAGGATATCTCATACATGATAAGTCACTTCTCTTGCTGCTTTCAAGAATCTCCCCTTGTCTATGGTCTCAATGTGGTGTCTCTGATTATATCTTACTTGGGGTTCAGAGTTTCATGATCTTTATTTCTAGATTTACTTCTAATTTTTTTTCCTAGATTTCTTTCTAGATTTCTAGATCTCTATTGATATTCTCTAATGGTAAAACATCCTTCTCATGATTTCCTTTTGTTCTTTGTACATGGCTTCCTCTACCTCTTTGAGCATATTTAAAATATTTGATTTAACGTTTTTGTCTAGAAAGTCCAAAGTCTGGGCTTCCTCGAAGACAGTCTCCATTCATTTCCTTTCTTTTCTGTGTATGGGACATATTTTGTTTCTTTCTATGTCTTATAATTTTTTTGTTGAAAACTGCAAATTTTGAATATTATAATCGAGCAACTCTAGAGATCAGATTTCCCCTCCTCCTCATGGCTTGCTGCTGTTGCCTGTTATAGTTGTTTACTCGTTTAATGACCTTTCTGAATTTTGTAAAGTTTGTATTCCTTATCATATATGACCAGTGAAGCCTCTGCTCCATTAGCTTATTCATCAGCCAGTGATGTGATGGAGATTGCCTTAAATACCTGGAACCCAAAACAAAACAAGAAATCCAAGTCTTTGCAGATTGGTTCTGTGTGTTGGGCCACACCTTCAACATTCAGTCGGGCAGTTTATAATTGTCTTAGGCTTTACTTTCTGTTTGTGCCGAACCTGAAATTTATACAGACATGAGAGCTTAGGGCCTTCTTAAGTCTTTTCTGAGAATGTGCCCAACCTTAGGTATGTGTGGGACACTTGAGATTCCCAGAAATATGTGGGAGCTTTTCAAAGCCTTTACTTCCCAAAGTATCTAGTTCCCCAACCTTTCCTCACAAGCTTTCTGATTTGTCTATTGTTTGCCCCAGCTGTTATCCCTTGCCTCCAAGGCAGCAGGGACTAATGCATTTGCCTTTAAATGTTTTCAACAAATGTCCCCCAGTGTAGCTGTGTCAATGCTGGGAGAGTTCAGAATTAAACCAAATAAAGGCAAGCCCTTTAAGTTGGTCCTTCAGGGAACACCAGACAGGTCAAAATAAACAAACACAATTCTTTAAGAATAAAATCCATTCCACTTCCTCTGGTAGTTGGAACCTATATCCAGAATGCAGACTTTTTGTCTTCAAGGCTGCCTCATTGAGCTAGGGAGTGGGGAATGGAGGCATTATAAGTTAAAACATCACAAAGCTCTGTTATAGAAATTTGGCTTTTTTTTTTATTGATTAAGCATTCTCCAGGATGTTATAAACTTTTGATTAGTTTCCAGGGTTTCAATAAAGCTGATTCCTGCTTTTGGAGTTCCCTACACTGCAATTTTGCTCCACCTTGGGAAGGTCTTACTAAGGATAATGTATCTTGCAGGGTAGTTGTTGAGGGATATAGGGGACAACGTTAAATTCACATTATGCAGGAAGCATTTCTTGATTAACCCTAACTAGAACTGTATTTTTACTCCTGGCATTTATTTAGTATCAGATTAACGCTTACAATCTGTCCCACTTAAATATTAACTTATGATTTTACATTTTGCCTTTTCAAAATGTAGAATTGATATAAAAAGCTATAAAAAATAAATGTTCTTAACATGAAAAAAAAGTTAGAGCTACATTTCATTTATTTTGAATCCTCTTCTCATGCCTCTAATCCCATTAGCAACTAAAGTTCGCAGAACTGAATGCTTTAAATGACTGAAATGAAAAATAATATTAAAACAGGTGACATAAGTATTTTAGTACTCTTTAACTATCAAGTATTATAACCAATTAGATCAGCATTCTCCATTTAAAAAAGTATTTCTAGGATAATTTCTATTCAAAAGCATAGATAAGCTTGTAATTTAGGAAGCAAAGTACAGATGTCAGTGAACACTGCAAATTTGTCTCTAGTATGCAAAAAAAGAAAGAGGACTGCTAATGACTCCAAGTGTCTTAGTAATAGACAAAGATAACATAAAATCATTTGCCTGGGTTTCCTTCAAAACAAACTTACTTTCCATATATGTCAAACTTACTCATTGTTTAATTCTAAAGCTTGATAGGCTGCTTTGATTCGAGCTGGAGGATTTCTTTCCCTCCATGCCTTCTGCATAACTGTAGGAAAAATATTTCAAAAAGGAGATGAGATGGTAAACATAAGTAATCTTACTCAAAACATATGAAGAATGAGCTACGAAAGTAAACAAAACTTTAAACATGTTCTTAAACATAAGAAACAAGAAATTGGGGTGTTAGTTCACATTAACCTTATGAGAAATTTACATTAAATTTGGAAGCTTCACAAACAATAAAAATATATTCTTTCTCTGATTTAAGTAACAACATATAAAGCTTTTAATCCAGTTATTGCATCATTATTATATATGAACACTTATATTTCTAAATGCATACGGAGTCTGAGTGACATCAAATCATAATCAATATGAAATATTCTAGTTTTTTATCACTTTGCAAAGAGTCTATGGAACTGTTAAAAATATACAAAACACTTTTAAAAAGGCTTTGTCTAATCAATGATCCAATCCAAGAACAATGTTTGAATTTGCATTTTGTATGAAAAGATGGAAAAGGTAATTAATTTAGAATATTGTACATTTATGGAAAATGTCTGTCTCTATCAAGATTCAACAAAATCCTGAAGACCTCTCTAGGACAACAATATTAATTTTGCTACCAATTACTGTACCAAAATGAACATTTCATAGTAATAAATACTAAATAAAATTTCATGCTAAACAATAAGTTTCTTAAAAATTAAACAAACAAATAAACAAAGTAGATTCATGAAACTATCTGGCGTATCTCAAGTTTGATAAGAGAAATAGAGAATCTATGAATGTTGCTTTTGGAACAAAACCTACAACTGTCCAGAAAGAATAATGTGGAAAATGTTTGAGTTTTCCTTTGGAAACAAAATATTAGTCTTGGCTTAGAAAAGAAGACAATATATTCTACTTGTGTAACAAAAATACATTTCTCATATCAAATATGTCACCAGCTGGCTGACAGCTAATGCTTCCTGAACTTGACAAATTGATGGAAGTCAGCACCCATCTGATAATAACTAGGTAAAGAATAGCATTTTGTTGAAACATTAAAATATTACATAAAAATAAAGAACAATATTAGACTTGCCAGTTTTAATGATGGGGCTTTCCTTTAATTTATATGATATTTACAAATCAAATTTTGATGCTGAATCTTTATTAACATTTTAAATGGTTATTTGGTATTCTAGCATACTAGAATTATTTAAGCAATTCTTTTGAATTATTAAGTTACACTCAATTTTTTTTGTTAATTATAGAAATGTTGTAATATCCATCTTTCAACGTCTACCTTTGCATACTTGACCAAATATTTCCTTTCTAGAAGTGGAATGGTTGGTTAAATGGTCAGATATATACTCCCAAACTATTCTCAATAGGATCATATTAAATTACGTTCTCTCAGACAGTGGAAAAGAGAGACAGAGAGAGAGAGAGGCTGACTGCTTCCCTAATTAGCAACACTGAGAAGTAACAATCTTTGCTAATTTAATATGTGGAAACTATCTCATCTTCGTTTGCATTTCTTTTTTTAATTTAATTATTTTTGAGAGAGAGACAGAGGGAGGCAGGGGCAAGGGACAGAGGATCTAAAGTGGGCTCTGGTGCTGAAAGCAGAAAGCACAACCCAGGACTCAAACTCATGAACAATGAGATCATGACCTGAGCTGAAGTGGCTTAACAGACTGAGCCACCCAGACGTCCCTGCATTTTTTAAATTTCTACGAAGGTCATCTGATCTACCTTTAAGCATTTGTTCTTATTCTTATTATGTTTTCAACAGTCTACCCAGCCTTTCATGATTAATCCTCACAACCAATGCAGTTCCAAGCTAAAAGGGAAAGGGGAAATAAAGCTTTAGAAGAATAATTTGTATTTCTTTCTTCAAAAAGGCTTAGGAATAATATATAGGAAATGCTGACTTAGTATTCAACTGTCCTCTTTAAGAGATCTTGATGTGCCTGGGGCGCCTGGGTGGCTTAGTCGGTTAAGCGGCCGACTTTCGCTTAGGTCATGATCTCGCGGTTCGTGGGTTCGAGCCCCGCATCGGGCTCTGTGCTGACTGCCGGCTCGGAGCCTGGAGCCTGTTTCAGTCTGTGACTCCCTCTCTCTCTGACCCTCCCCTGCTCACGCTGTCTCTCTCTCTCTCTCTCCTAGAAATAAATAAAAAAATATTAAAAAAAAAAAAAGAGATCTTGATGTGCCTAAAAATAACACAAGCAATTAACAATTTAATCAAATTAATCTATTTTTTTTAAATATTTTTATTTATTTCTAGGAGAGAGAGAGAGACAGCGTGAGCAGGGGAGGCTCA